TCACCTGCCAGTGGGCCGGATTGCCAACAGGTGATGCCAGGTGCCCAGCTGAGGAGTGGGAGAGCAGGTTCCAGTCTCAAGACTGCAATCCAGGCGTGTAACCCACGAGCTCTTGCTTACTGTCCTTACTGTCTCCACTGCCTTACCTGAAACAGGAAAATTGACCTGCCGTAGACTTTTAGACATTTGGAGAGGAGAAACCTTTTATTCAAGTGAATAATATGCCAGGGTTCAGCAGTGGAGGGAAGCACAGTGAAGTCTGTCCTGCTGTGGGACTGGCGTTCTCCCTTCTTGGATGGTGAAGGCCGAGACAGCCTCAGGACACGGAGAGTAACCCTGCACGGTGAGGGACCGTGGCCGCGGCCTCACACACAGTAGCAGGAATGAGCTGAAATGTGCTAGAAGTCTAAACTATGTCTAGATCTCAAGGGCTTTTTCTAAAAACATGAAATGTCTGCTTAATAATTTTATAGTGGTTATCTATCAAAATATCATAAATCCTACTATTCTGGTCCATTGGGTTAAATGAATATATAATTAAAATTAATTTATCTCTTCCCTTCATCACTCCTCAATGTGGCCACTAGAAAAACTCAAAATTGCTTCCGTGTGTTGTACTGTGTCTCTACTGGATGGTGGTGCTCTAGATAAACTTCGGCCCCGTACCTCTGGACACCAGTGCTGGAAAGTTTGGTAGGGGTCTCACCTCTGTCTGCTGCGCAGGTCCCTAGGGCTCATCACTGTGTCCTGTGAAACCTCTGTCCTTTGCAACCAGAAGCCGTTCTAATATGTTTCCATTGAAGCCCACTTTCTCTTGCATTTCCTGCTGAAGAGCATTTTCCTTTCTGGTCAGTCTTCCTGCCGTTGTGCCCCGTCTCTTGTGTATGTATTTCTTCCCTGTAGTCACACTGAGCATTGAATCGACACGGTTGGTGACGGTGTGCAAACTTTATCCTCATAAACCATTTCCATTTCCACCTTGTGTTTTTCCCTTTGGTCATTTTCCAATGGATTGGCTTGTTGAGTTTGAGGTCACTCCCTCTCTTATTACCGTAATTCATTTTCACCAGTGTGTTTCGACTCACCTTGGGGTTTACCTTTGCTCTTCCAAGACTTCATCAGTCACCAGCAAAATCTAAGATTAGGAGTTGTTTAGACCCTGTGTGTAGTGACCTGTGCCAGGGGAGTTCTGCTCTTGTCACCAGCAAGCGCATCCAGAAAGCCCGGAGCTCCCCTGAGGGCTGATGTGCTTGTGATGTGTTGTATGGTCTTCGTCTCTCTGGGCCATTACCTTTATTTTTTTATCGCCAGCAATACTTTTGAGTGAACACACAACTGGCACACATCCAGAGTTATTTGCATTTGTCTTTGTCTTTATTGTCCCATTTCTGAGCAGAGTGTGTCAGGGAACAGGAATGCCACCCTGTGTGTTTGCCTGAGAATTCCCGAGTAAACAATATGCCTAGAGAGGGGGTGAGTTTCCCGTAACTGGGAGAATGCAACGTCTGCTGGAGCAGATGCTGCATTGGCTTGTGCCCAGAGAGGCGGCAGATGGCAGCGTCTGTGGACCAGAATGCTCCGTCCTTCTCCCTACCCTGCTACCTCAAACTGGTCCAGTTTTATGACTTCTGCAGGAGTCTCTGGGATAAAGGGGAAATGCTAGAAGGATCTAGATAGAACTCTCCCCTCTGCATTGTGCTGCTTCCTGAGCCTTGGCTTATTCATTAGTATTTACTGTGGAGATTGTTCTTATCTTGTACCTCATTGCTCATCACCAAAGTGAAAAATCATTTCGTCTCTGAGCATGTAGTCTGTAGGAAACACCTACTGCTTCTATGCCCCGCACCTCACATTCTTCATCTGTGTGGTGAAGCTCTCAGACATGTGAGTTCCATCTCTGCCAGCTCGCTGAGACGCAGGACTGGGATGCTCCACTGGCTAGCAAAGCAGAATCCTGGATGCTCACTTAGACCTGAGTTCCACTTACAGCATAAAGAATGTTGCACAAGATATCGTAATACTCAAATGCTCAAATGTTGCTCAGGGTTTATGTGGAATTTAAATTTAAATGGACATTGTGTGTTTAATCTACCAAACCTGGGACATAAACATGCTTACTGTTCTGCTAAGATGAGACACATATGCTATTCAGCATAATATTGACTGGAAGATTCATGCAGTCACTGTCATCTCTGCTTTCAGATCACAGCTGTCCCAATAGCTCCATCCCTCTTAGGCGTCTTCCAGCAGCTGGGCATAGTGGCACACACCTGTTAGCTCAACACTGGGAGGCTGAGGCAGGAGGATCACAAGTTTGAGCCCAACCTGGGCAACTTATGGACTTAGCGAGAATCTGTGTCAATCATCATCATCATAATAATAATAAGCATAAATATAATACTTTTTAAAAATAGAGCTGAAACATAGTTTAGTGTAAAGGCTCTGAGTTTAGTTCCTAGTACAGAGAAAAAAATGATTAAGAAGCTTTGCATGTTTTTATCTTGCAGATGACTTTGGTTAGAGCACAGAATTTGAGATGCATAGAGGACATGTATGGTTTTATTCTCTATGGCAATTTTTCAGAGTTAATATTTGATCAGGTGAAACCAATTACAATGATTTTTTTATTGACATTTTTATGACCTTTTAGGTTGGAATCCCTCCAGATTGGGGAAATACAGGTTTCTTGTTTCTTCTCCACACTGACCAATATAACTCTCACCAAAGCGCATAATGAGAAAAATGTTACAGCAAATACGGGAGTAATAATGATGTCTTCACTGTAGTCCAATTTCTTCCTCTCTCCTGCCTCCCTCCCTCCCTCCATTCCCTTCTTCTTCTTTCCTTCCCTTGTCCTTCTCTTTCACATTTGCTCGCTCTTTGCCAGCACATGTTTGTGACTCTCCCATCCTACAGCCACAGTAGTATCCGCTGCACAAAGTTGACCCATCCTCCCGCCCTGTGGAGCTTAAAATGGAGTGCAAAAGCCACAGAACAAGTCAGCTAAACCTGGGTCTGTGATAAGTGTTGTAAAAATAAAAACAGCAACAAAATACAGAGCCCCAGAGGATGATCATGTCCTCTCCTATCAAATAGCTGTGTGTTTTGAGAGAGGGTCTGTTTTATAAATTGGGTTTATCTTTCTGCAGCTGAGTGAAAATGACACCACCAGTTGTCACTTTGGGCAGAGCAACTGCATACACCAGGTTAGCATAACCAGGGCTCTCGGTGCTGCACAAAGTTCTGAAGGCTGGAGACAGAGGGGCAAGGTGGGTGTGGAGCCAGATGTCAAGAGGGTCCAGGTCCAGCACAGTCCATGGTGGCCCCCACTGCACATGCCCTTACGCAGAGTGAGCGAGGCAGGAGAGCTGGGTCCCCATGTTGTCTGACTCTAGATGCAGGGAGGAGGTTGGAGCACTTCTTGGGGAGAGCCAGGTGAAAGGTGGTCTAAACTCGGAGTGGAGGTGAAGAGTAGCAAGGAGCAGTTAGATGTGGACCAGGTGAGCTGGATGAGGAGCAGAGAGTCCAGCAGGGGGACTGGGTCTTAGTCCGTGGTGTGGTATTGGGGTAATGGAGCCATTATCCTTGAGACCAGGCTGTAGGAGGCATAACAAGACGGTGGTGACCTGGAGAGTGAGACCTTGTGGTATCTCCATACTTTGAACGTCAGCTGCAGGGACAGGGCCAGCATTTGATAGTGGTGTCCCAGCCAGGAAGACAGACACCACAGGTGTTAGTATCCCAAGGGTTGCCCTGGGAGACAGGACTGGGACTGACCCTGTGTGAGCACAGAAGCAGGAAGCAGGAGGTGGCTGGCAATGGCGGAGGGAAGGGGTTGTTCGGAGGGGACTCCACGAGTGACCGGACACCCACGGGTGAGGGAGGCACAGCGGGAACCGAACCCATGCTGGCAACTTTCTCTGAAATGTTGTGTTAGACCCTCAGCTGGAAAATCAGATGCAGAATGTGCGCTGTCAGTTTCTGACCAGTGATGACTGTTTCAAGTCAAATTATTGAAGATCTTCAAAAACTGAATCCTTTTCAACTGCCTAAGAACTTGAAACACATATGATATTGACATTGGCCTGTGGGAATTTGAATGGGTTCCTGAAAGTGATTATTCACCAACGAAAAAGCAGAGAGGCATCAAGGAGTCTTTGTTAAACCATTGGATGGAGTTTAGTTCTGGAACCCGTGTTCCCTGTGCTGTGCCAAGATGGTGAAAAATCTCCCAAGAGCCACAAAGCGAGAATCTCCCACCTGCATTTTCAGCGCCTTTTCCTTTCCTCTCTCCGTCCCTTTGTCTTCCTCTCTCTCTCTTTTCCTTCCTCCCCAACCCCGCTCTTTCTCCTCACTCTCTTCTCTGCCTCCTGCACTCACACAGTCTCTTCCCTCCAATTCAGGAGCTATATTTTTAGGCTTCCCAGCACACAGCAAATGCCAAAATATTCTTGATCCTTTTCAAGAGAACAGAGGAGGAAGCGGGCAGAGAGGGATGCACGTACTTCCCCAGGAGGAAGCTGCGTCTCTTGTCCTGTGGATTTGCAGTTGTCACTCACATCGTGTCTTCCCTGGCCTGTCAGCAAAGTCCCCGCCTCTTACACAGGGGAGCCAGGATTGTCCTTCAGAGCGTTCTCTCTCCTGACATTCTCCACAGAAAATCTGCTACTTTGAGGCACAATAATCTTTAATACACTCTCAGTTCCTGGTCATGCAACTGGACAATATAGTAAGCTGGAGGCAAATAGTAAATGAGCAGCCCTCATCCTTGACTACTTGTTAGCACTTCTGGAAAGCTTTAAAGCAACAATGCCAGAGCCCCATGTCCAGAGTGGACACCTGAGTAGGTCTGGAGGTGACCTGAGTGCCTGCAGTTTTGAAAGATGCTCAAATAACTGCTGACTGCTTCGCCAGGGCTGTGTGTGCTGTTACTCTGCTTCATGGAGAAGCAGCTATGAAATGTGTTGACCTCGTTTTCTTCCCACCCGTCGCCTTCACAGATTATGGCACCATTAAGAAAGTACGGGCACCTCTGAATGAGACCTCAAGCAGCTGTTTACTGGAAGAGATTGAGCTCTTCCCAGAGAGGAGGAGGGAGCCCATCCGGAGCCTGCAGATCCTCCACAGCCAGAGCGTCCTGTTTGTGGGGCTGCGGGAGCACGTGGTCAAGATCCCCCTGAAGCGGTGTCAGTTCTTCCACACGCGCAGGTAAGCTGGTGCGCAGCGTTGGTGCATTACACAAGCTCACCCCAAGGATGGGCACAGGAGTAAAGGCTTTCAGCCTCCCTGCAGTCCACTGGGCTCAGGACTTTGATACCCCTGTACCTCCTGTATCCCAGAATGCAGGGTCTTCATGCAAATAGATTGACTCTGATGAGCCTAACCTGCATGATATCCATAGAGGATGTCACAGACATTATGTCTGTGAGCGGTTATCAGGGTGGAGATGGGTTATTCACTGCACTGTAACACTCAGTAAAAGTGTTAATATTTACTGTTACTCCAATCTATGTTTATATTTTATTTAAATGTAAACACACACACATACAAACACATACACACAAACACACACTCCAGATAGAGAATATTATCATGTGTGTACTCCTAGCTCAAAGCTCCTTTTGTGATAACCCTGAGAAGAGCCAATGTGGATGCTCTGCCATCCTCCCTGGAGAGCTCCACAGGGTGCTGGGCATGTTCTTCTTTGGCAGCTGTCTCACCCATGAGACTCTAGATCTTGCATGTGGCTGCAGGAGAGCAGAGAGGATTTCCTATAGGTACAGGGAACCCAGTGCCATCCCCCTCCACACACCAGGCTCATCTTCTAATCTTCCATGGATGTTGCTCTTGACCATGGAATCTTTGGACTTGAGTGTGGAAAATGCAGACCCAGGTACCTAGGAACTTGAAAAGGGTTGTACACATCAAAAACATGACCCGTGTTTTAATGTTGCAAATTGCATGTGTATTCTGACCCGTGACAAAAGATGCCCTTGGGGAAATCATAGTTCCAGGGTTCTTAGGGAGCATTACTCTTGCTCAGTTCCATTCCCAAAACAATACATAATTGCAGATTTGGTGTAGAAATGGTCTTTGCTATATCATTCATAAAACCTGCTGCACACAGGCCATTCTTTTTCTAAACAAGGTGCATGGGGGCAGCAGCCCAGGGAAAGAGGCTGAGATTCCTGGTGGAGCCCTGTCCTTGCTAATTCTTGAGCCTGTTTTCTGAAGTATTTCAGACCTCATATTCTTTCCTAACAATGAGAATTGGTGTAACATCAAATGAGATAATATGCATTGTGTAAAATCAAAAGCTTTCTGCAAAGGAGTATTCTTACATAGCAGGAAGGTTTTATGTATAATCATTATAATATTCCTTTCAGGACCATTCTAGAAAATAAAATCTAACAAACAATGCCTCCTTTGGAGTCAGAGGACTACAGAACACTGTCAGGACCCTCCCAGTGGATTACAATGCTTTGGGGATCATTAATAAGATAGTGACCGGTACCGGAGAAAAACCAAAAAAAAAAAAAAAATAAGATAGTGATATTTATTAACAACCATTTGTTATGTGTGTAACCAATGGTTGTTGGAAATTTGTTCAGATTTAATTTCCCTGTGGAGCAAGCCAAGAGCAGGGAAGACTCTTCCATAGCTGTTGGTGGTTCCATGGGTGACAGGAGGCTACTGTCCAGCCCCCAGGCTTGTCATATGCTGAAACTGGCTAGAAGGCTTCCAACTATGCTCAGTGACCTCCAGACCTAATGACGAATTTGGGGAGGGGGCTGACATGGGATAACGCACAGGAAGACACAGGTCTGAGCAGTCTGTAGGACGATTCCATTGCCAGAACAAGAACGTGTGGCTTCCAAACCACAAGGCCACTCACTCTTCCTTTTCAGATGGCTTTGCTCCATTGAGTCTGGGTTAAACATGCAACTCAGAGACCTAATTCCTACGTGAGGTCACAAAGACAGCAAGGTGTTGCCGATCTCCCGCAGCTACATTTTAAGCCAGTACTGAATCCACAGGGGCTGGAGCCACCAGCCTCAGAGGCCAGGGAGACATTCGGGCCTCTACTGTTTCTTTCAAGGAGCACAGGGTCACTTGTCTGTCTCCATCAGACTCCTGGATGAGCAGAGTTTCCCATTTCAGTGTAGAGCTGTGTCTCCATGCTGTTGACTTTTCACTGGGAATAAGAGATAACTCCGCCGCGGACCACAGACTGCTTCTGTGTGCTCTGCCAAGAGTCGGGGGGGGGGGGTGGTGGCTCGTGTTTGGCCTCTAAGATTCCATGTGAGAATGGAGTCCCTCTGGGTTTCTTCTCAAGGGTTTCTTCACTATTTTCCCCCTACAGAGAAACAAGAAAACTTCTCAGTCACATTCACTAGGAAAAGCAAGCTATTTCTAATATACTTCTGTCGGGTAGTTTTGTTTGTTTTACCAGTCAGGGAGGAAAATGGTGGCCTTTTTTAAAAAACAAAAGTAAATTTAATTTTCAAAAATATCCAAAACAGTAGACTGCATACCAATAGAGAGAGTTGGGTAGCAGATGCATACTAGTGTGTTTGCACAGTACTTTTCATAGTAGGATGCTGGGAATTGTTTTTGGTATTGCACAGTCCATTTTATAAATAAATTCTTGAAGTATTTAAAAAGATGAATTGAGCTTGACCCAATGATCAGTGTCCTCAAATGTAAATATAACCACTGAAGGATCATTTGGTCTTTCAAAATCTTATTTACAGATTTCACTTTGTTGAATGTCTGTTTTTCAAAGACAACGTACAGTGATATCTACTGAACATTTATAAGTGATCATGAATCATACATTTCACAAATTTCTCTTATCTGTGTGGCACAGTGCTAGGTTTTATCACCATTTTCCTTACTGATCACAACCATGCTCACAGTGAAGGGGCGTGTCACCACATTATTCAGATGACAAGGTCACAGCTCAGAGCTTTGGTGCCTTGGACAAGGTCACGTAGCTCACCTGCATTGTGGACCTTGGTGAGAGCAGGTCTGTGTGACCCTGTGGCTCATGCTGTGTTTCTGGCTTGCTCTCTGTCTAGGTAGAGTGAGGGCAGTGGTCAGATTTCACAGGAGGAGGTTTTGAGCTCCTGAGGGGTGGGAAAGTCAGAATTCAGCTGCCCAAGGTTTTTCCAACTAACTCTGGTTTAGTGCTTGGGGTCAGGCAGATCAAAGAAACATGAAGCAGGTTTGGTGTCCTGTCTTTCCTAAGGATTCTAAGGTGCATCTCTACTCCCATTCGTTTTGGGTGCGATCCTGCTCCTGGAGGTAGTGGGCACTGACAAAGCCCCTCCTGCCCTGTTCACAGTTGGCATGCATTGTGGTTCAAAACGTGCATTTCCCATAGGAAGGTTATCTTAATAGAGCAGTATTTTAGAACTTGTATTTTAATCGAGTTTGATGATAAAGTCGAGAAGAAAATACTTGTTTTAATGTTAGCATTTTGAGGCACTTAATAAATAGCATGGAAAATGACATGAAGGAAAGCCAGCTCCCAGGAATGGATGCTTACTTCGGGGGATGGACTGCAGAAGGAGCTTTACTAACCATCCACTTCATTTTTCATGCTGGGACTGCCTGACCACACACAAGTCTCATAAAATGTGTTAATGTTTAGTAATTTTTGAGCACCCTAGGACCTGGAGGGCCAAGTTCTGAGTACTGTATGAGGAAGGCCTGGAAGCTGAGACCTGGAAGCGGAGGTCCCACTCATGGGTACCTGGCTCACGGTGGGGACACTGCAGCATTTTGTCTTAGAGTGGAAAAAGGTCACCACAGGGAGGCATAGGGTGGAAAAGCCAGAACAGTTGGTGACTTAATTCTCACTTGCAAAGACAGGCTCTCTGGACTACCTGTTCAACTTCCCATTTCACTGGTTTAGAAAGCAAAGGCCAGCCACAGGACTTGGGCTTCCATGGTCATGTCTAGAAATCAAGATGTTATTTCCTTTTAAGGAAACATGGCAATCTTCCTGGTACTATGAGGATCACAGCTGTTCAAGTGTTGGAAAAGAATGGGAGGGCTTATGACAGAAACTTTTAAGGATAGTGCATTGATAGTGCACTGATTAGATCAGTGACTCAGGGGGTTTTCTCTGCAAAGGGAAAGGAAAACCTTGACGCCTACCAGGCAGAGATTCTCTGCTGCCAGGTCTCTGCTCTGTTCTGGAGAGGGACCACAGTGAATGGGTGAGGCTGTGCCCCAAGCAAGGCTGACAGGTTTCCCAGTGAGGAAACTGTGATCTGCTTTATATTCAGTTTGTTTCTTGCATAGACAGCCAAATAACAGAAGAAAATGTGTCAGGTGATCACGCAACATGGGAACCAGTGCACCCTCTGCCCAGGAGGCGACTAGACACAGCTGAGCAATTTGAGAGCCTGTGGCTCTCTTCCTTGGTGGGGCTGGCTTGGAGGCAAGAAGCTTGCACCATCTGAGAACCCAGAGATGACAGGAGACTGACTTACAGCAGTCCCTCCAGGAACACAGGCAGTTGTGTGGGCCATGATCCATTAGCAGCCTCTGGTGTCTTCCCATGTCCAGGATCGGGAGGACTGTGGGGAACTCTGACGAAGCTTCCCATGGTCAGCTCTTGTTAAGCTTTACTTTGGGGCCTTAGGTGATCAGCTGGATGTGGCCCATGAGCAGCAGTCAATGACTCCCAAATTAGATCATTATCGTATGCCTTTGAATGCATGGATTTCCATTACATATGTGCCAGTTTATGAACTAAATGTATTATGTACAGAGAACTTAGGTTTACTCTCTAGCCAGATATTTGTAAATGTCACTTACACTATATACACTCTATTATCCAATATTTATTTTTCCTTTGACACCACAGTTTATGAGATAGGGCTAGCAGGTTGTAGAGTTAAGGGCTTTGTAGATGAAGGGCTTATGTGAACCAGAGAATGCAGGAGCACTCGTCATTCATAAAAAGACAGACAGACCCCAGGTCCCATATGACCAGGCAGTCCCAGCTGAGCTGAAGAGCTGGGGTGGGAAGGTCGGACCAGCTCTATGCTCTTGGGTTCCTCTTGGCCTCCGCATGGTGAGTCACTTAAGACAGGCGGAATTAGCAATTGGACCCTCTCCTTCTATCCTCGGCTATTTTACTTGTAATTTGAAAATAAAGCCGAAATTTCTGTGTGAGTATAAAGCTCTTTTTA